TACTATAAATTTGTAACACTATACTTTGTTTTAAATTAAATCATTCCGTAACTTGACTCAAGCATTCGGAATAATTGAATTAAAACAGCAAAATCAATTATTACCATTGAGATTAAATGGAAAAACATATGATCGTTGTAAGCGATCAACATAAATACTACATGATGCAAATGGATAATTTGGATATGTTAATAAAAGTTGTACAATAGATAGATGACCTTGTGAACAAGCAGCAGAAAATGGAAGAATTTGTTCGAGTGTTGCAACACAAACTAAATGTGGAAAATGCTAAGAAAACAAAAAGAGAAGTGAATAAAAAAAAGATATCAATTATATATTTTTTCTTACAGTTAAAATCATTTGAACAATTTCAAGATTTCCAATTCGACAAGCTATATAAAGTGGAGAATAAGATGTTTGACGATGTGGTTTTGCAATTGCCCCATGTTTTAATAATAATTTAACTAAGTCAACATTTCCTGTTCGACATGCTCTATATAGAAAATTCAATGTATCACTTCCATTTGGACTTGAATTTAATACTGCTTTAGCATGTGCACCCAAATGAGCAAGACATTCTTCTGCTTTTTCAACATCACCATCAAAACAAGCATCAAGTAATTCTAAATCAAATGATAATTTCTTTTTGTTTTCTTAAGTATTAAATTTTTTTTCTTTTACTCTTTTCTGTTTCTTGTCGAACTTGTTGTCGAAGTTCAATTTCATTTTGTATCATTTCAACTGTATCAACTTTACGATTTATTTGTGCTGATATTAATGGTGTATAACCATGTTTATCTCTTATTGTTACATCAGCTTTATGAAATAATAATAAAGCTAAGATTTTTTCATTGCCTACTTCAGCAATCATATGTAATGGCGTCTAAAGAAATATATTAAAATAAATTCAAAATACAAATTCATAAAAAAAAGAATTCTATGAAAATTTCTATCTATTCCTATATTAATTAAGCTTTTCGGAGTTGTTTTAGGAGCTCGTATTGGTTTCTGAAGTAATTCCAATGTTTTTTTAATTTTTGTTAATAAAGGATATTTTCCTTGTTTACAAAAACTACCATGAAAATCATCTAAATCAAGAGACCATATCATTGCACCAGCTAAATTTTGTTTAGCAATAAAATAACATTTTTGTTCTATCGATTGTTGATTATCATAACCAACCCATTGATCATTTTTATATGCAAATGGTACTTGTTGTTCTTTATCGTATTTCGTAGACCAATTTTGTTTTTTTTATAAGATCACATATTTCATAATAGGATAAAAATCCACTATTACGAGTGAAATTACCAGGTAAACCAGCACCTATCGATGGTGCATATGGTTTAATATCAGGATTTGTTTTCGATTTTAGTTTAAATGTTCGTCCATACATTCCAAGACCAAGAATAAGCTTTGATGATGGACAACCACCCTCAAGCCAAGTATTAACTGTTGCTTGTTGATTCAGAAAACGTTGATCATCTATTTCAGTTGAACGTGGATATAGCGGACTATTAAAACCTATATAAGAATTCCAACTACCTAAAAAATTGATACGATTATCAATTTTTAGAACAAAATAAACAAACCATGATAATCATAAGTCATTAAATTGATATAATCAAGAAATAATGATATTTCTTGAATATCATATCCAGCTTGAATTTTTGGTTGATATGCTGCTACAGCTGCTGTCAACAAAAGTCGTGTACGATTTGTTAGAGAAGTTTCATTTTGAAATTCTAATCGATAATCACGAACAGTTAACGAAAAAATTTGACGATCTTTTTCTGTTATTGGATATTCCCAATCGAGATCTAAACCATCAAATTTATATTTTCGTAAATATTTTATTGTATTTCGTATAAATTCACGTCGTATTTTATCATGTTGAAAAACATTTCGAAATTGTATCGAATTTACTGATGCACCACCTAATGTTAACAAAGTTTTCATTCGACGATTTTTAGTTTTTAATAAATTTATTTGTTCATACATTCCTTTTGATAAGGATTGAATATCATTAATTTCAAATGGACTTGGACTTCGAGTTTTAATATTAATATTTGCAAATGCATAATAAAGATGTGTACATAATGATGGATCGATATAGGATGGATCAAAATATCCAAAACTTGATCGATATTGAGACCAATTAGTAAAATAACAACCAATAATAAATTGTTGACTTTGTATAAAGTGATTTGTTATTAACAGGAAAAAAGGGAGTACAAACGATTTCATTTCTTTTATTATATGACAAGAATATGTCCTTTTTTTTACATCTTTATATTTATACATTTTTTTTCTCGATCTATTCAAATAGCAGACAACTGTTTAAATAAAGAACGAAACGTTGTCATTCGATGACAAAACGTGCTTATATGATAATAAAAATAATCAATCTAATTCTTACTTTATAATCATAACGTTCACCAGATTGTATATTTAAATCAGCACCATGATCAATAAGTACCATAATAAATTCTAATGATGAATCAAGAACTTTCGTATCATTTTGAAGTGTTGCTTGTGAAGCTGATATACATGCTGTATGTAATGGTGTACAACCAAAACGATCAGTTGCATCAATATTATTAATTTCATCACCTGTTAATAGATCCTATCGGGAGAAAAAAAATTATTAATTTAAAATTTTTATTCTAATTCTTACTTTTAAAAGATCAACATTTAAATAAAGTGCAGCTTGATGTAGAAGTTTTCCAGGATAATTATCATCATCATCATCATTATTATTATTCATTGTTATTTATTATATTAATAGTTCATTAAAAGAATTTTTCCTTTTTTTTTCGTTCAATAGAAAAAACTTGAGCGTAACTTATACTATTATGACTTCATACGGTTGACTCTGTTGTCATTTTTTTTATTTGTATATTTTTTAACCAATCATTATCAAGTAGAGACCTCTGTTCATTGAGAAGAATAAAAAGAACAAAAATGCTTCTATATATGTCATTTTGCCTAATATAAATTCCAATAACGTAATTCAATTAACATTTACATGATTCATGGAAATAGACTTTCTAGATCATGCGATATATATTTAAATGTTTGGCATATTTTTAAATACTGATTTCAATTATTGATAAAAACACTTGAATATCATCAGTCTCAAGTAGCTCGTTTATATTTTCTAGCAATTGAATTTAAATCTTCTTTGATAATAGAAACAAAAATATATTTAAAAAGTCAAATATATTCTTATTCACAGGTAACAAATCATATAGGTCTTTATAATGTTAATTAAAAATAAATGTTATTATAAAATGAAATTGTATATTAAGAATTTATTGAAGTATAAGTTATATGCATTTTCATATACACAATGAACAATAGTCTCGACATCTTGTCTGTCCGCTTAGGTCAAATACTTAAATCATCAGTTCATTCATTGTCGGACAATAAAAACAATGATGTGTCAAAAATAATACTTATCTATATATATATATAGGTAAAAGCGTGATAAAAGAATGAAATCCATTATTCTTATTCTTTTCTCCATTTTACTCTTATTCAATTACATTTACACAACGACGAGAATATTTGTTGACTAATGTACATCGTTTCATCATCAACATTACTACTTTTCTTTTTTTTCTTCTCTCTCTCTCTCTTCTTTGTTACTTATGATTCATTCATCTGCATTACTATAATGCACACACCTGTGCAATAATAGAATTGAATAGACTTTGATGATTAACATATTTTATTATCAACAGTAATAGTTTTTCTTACATACGACACAGCTGTTTCTCGATCGTTTTCTTTCGCGTTCTCAACATTTACTATTGACTAACAACACAAATTCTTTTTGGTATAAAAATCGTAATTTTTGTTTTATAACTTACATATATTTGCTTTGATAAAAAAAGACAGAAAATGGGTAAACTTTTATCAAAGGTTTTAAAAAAATTATCAGCTGATGGACCCAAACGTATTCTTATGCTTGGCTTGGATAATGCGGGTAAAACAACAATACTTTATCAAATGAAACATACAGAAGATTATAGTACTGTACCAACAGTTGGTATGTTCAAGAGAAATAATAATATTCTTTTTTAAGACAAACTAATTTTCTTTTTCAAAGGTTTTAATGTTGAAACAATATCTCCATGTCATGGAATAACTTTAACAGTTTGGGATGTTGGTGGTCAAGATCATTTACGAACATTATGGCATCATTATTTTGATAATGTTGATGGTTTAGTTTTTGTTATTGATTCAACTGATCGCAATCGACTTTCTCTTGCCAAAGCTGAATTAAAAGGAATTTTTCATCATGATACGATGAAAAATGTTCCATTAGTTATTATTGCTAATAAACAAGATCGTACTGATGCATTATCAACTGATATTTTAATAGAAAAACTTGATTTAAATCAATGGTATAATGGAACATTTAATATTATTCCTTGTTGTGCATTAACAGGAGATGGTTTGAAGAGTGCATTTACAGTTCTAGCAAAAATAATAAGAAAACAAGCGAAAAATCGTCAAATAGATGTGATTTAAGAAGCTTAATTTCTTTGAAAAATGTTTTATTCTTTATGTCAGATGAATATAATAAACGGTGATTTTCACATTCCATATGTACTTGATTATTTTTATATAAAAATAAATAAATATGTAATTTAAACAATTTCTTTTCATTACTAATAGTGTATTAATTATCAAATTGATAAATTCTTAGTAGAAAAAAAATATTCCTTATTTTAGTTATGAGTAATACTCTTGATAAATATGTAACTACCTAGATACTTCACTGTATTCATTAATAAAATAATATTCCTAACAAGACATGACTTGTTTCGTATTAGTAAATTTATGTATTAATCATGCGATTTTTGGTTCTTTAGAAATTTTTCACGTGATCAATAAAATACTTTTCTTTTATCAAGTAAACATTTACATCGACTCCATGGGCACTTTTTTTTATTCGAATTATTTTGTTGATACAATCATAGAAATCTTTATCGTAAAGAAAACAAGAAGCTTTCATCATAATGTACTTGTAATACATATACAGTAAGGATGAATCGTGATTATTTTTAGACATTATAATTTATTTCAGTAGTAAACAACTTGTCTGTATCCAAATGATCGGTATATAAGTTGTTTTTAACAGCTACAAGGGAACAATTGTAGCTTCACTAAACTATATACATATTCTTTAATTAGTCCTCGTTGTTGTCTTTTAGAAATTGTTAACATAACTAATATTATATTTATTCTATTATAATTCTTTCTTTCATGAATAATTTATTTTAAAATGATACATATATTAAATCGATATTTTAAATAACTGTTTTTTAAATAATCAAAAAATGGCACTTGTGATTATTATGTTTAACTCATGTATATAACTCGTATTACCAGTTGAGGATTAGACTTTTTAATTTTTTTCTTTCCTTTCAAGTTTTTACGTACTGGACCAATACCAAAAAAATATTTTAATATATCTAAAGTCGTGATAAATACGGCAACGATTATTAGAGCAATAATTACTATATATCCAAATGATTTTGAAATTACTTGATGAACAACCAGGCTATTTGTTGATTTTTCACAATATTCTCCAGAATAACTTTGTCCCAGACATTCACATTTATATGTACTCAATAATGGTCGACAAACACCATTATTCAGACATGTTATGTTTGCACAATAATTAATCTTTGTTTCACAACGATCACCCTTCCATCCGATTGCACATTTACACATAAAGGTTATATTTGACATTTCGGAGCATATACCTAAAGAAAAAAAATAAGTACTTTTAATAATTTTCTATATGCATTAAGAAAGAGAAAATATTTACCATTATTGACGCAAGTATTTGGCTGACACGGTCGATCATCAAATTGACAATAAGTACCATTGAAATGCAATGGACATGAACAAATATAACCAAGAGAATTTTGATTAGTGTTATGACAAGTACCATTGTTTTGACATGGTTGAAGTATATCACATAGACTACTAGAGATACTACAATTAAGACCCATATATGCTGTATTAGAACATAATAATGGAGAAAAAATAGATGATGATGTGCGAACTAGAAAGAGAAATATAGAATGAAATAATTAGATACGAAGGACAAGGAAATGATACCATTCATAATTGTAGTATCAAGCGGTGTCATCATAGTAGTTGATTCTAAAAAAAAAGGATTCGAAATATCGTCTATTTATACTGACTTCGTATAATTTTCTGTATAAATAACATCAAGTATTTTACTGAGTAAAACCATGTAATAAATTTTTCAGTTTCTTAACTATTGAATTGCTTATTACAAGTACGATAATAGAAGCTTTTAATAAGTACAAAAGTTAGTTTGTATGTAATCCAATCGTACAAGCTTATTAAATAAGATGTCAAGAGCATGTAGCATAGAATTTTGAAGTTAAATAAATTTGACATAAGTAACTCGAAGTACTTAGATACCTGTGTTTCTTTTCAATTATTCTAAATTACTATCGGTAATAATCTATTGAACTTACCACACGAATTTGTTGCCAACATAAATTTCTGAACGAGACTATTGACGTAACCTAAAACAAATATATTGCCATGGCTATCAAAAGTAAGTTTGTATGGTTGATTGAGCTGATTAGAAGCTAATCCACTTGTCCCTATACATCCAATCACACAATTATAACCATTTGGCCCAGAGCGAATAATTCTATAACTTGCCATATCGGCAATATATAAATATCCATTACCATCAATCATAACACCTGTTGGGTAAAATAATAAAATACCGTTTGAGGTTCCATTTACAGTCACTGTTATCGCATTCATTTGTCCAGATCTGAAAAGTTGAATTCTGCTATTGGCAGTATCTGCTACATATAAATCAAAGTTCGAATCAATAAATATTCCATAAGGTCTACAAAGTGTGTTTGCGGATGGCCCACAAGTTGTATTTCCAGCAACTATCACTGTTGTGTTAGTACTATTGTCAAGTGGAATCATTAGGACAATATTTTCGAAAGGACTAGTACAGTAAAGATTATTGTTTTGATCAATAAATAATCCATAACATATTCCATTAGTATACATAACGGGAACACCAATCGTTGAGTTTACAGACAATCTGTCAATACGTTTACCATCTCCACCACTATTGGTATAAATATCTCCGTTATTTGTTACAAAAAGAGCATAAGATACTATTAAATTATTGGAAATAATCCTAACCGGAGCAGAACTTCCTTCAAGCCAAACAAGAACTTGTTTATTCAAGGGACTTGTTGCATATATGGTGTTATTAGTATCGATAAACAAATCTAATGAGTCGAGTCCAAGCAAAGTACTGTTTGCAAAAACTGTCCCATTTGTTTCCCAAGTTGCAAGAGAACAAAATGTAGGCTGGTTAAATGAAATAGCTACAAAAGATAAATAAATTCATATAAGTATTCATCATTGTTTTACAGAATTCGACTCAACTCTAAATCATAATATTATATTTTTATGTTAATGTTTGTCTTCATCTGATTTATTGCAAGTAAATTCAATGGCTAATTTATAGATTACTAGTTGTAAATATGCGTTATACCATTTTATTGCTTTATGAAATCAAAAATTAATATAATTATCTATGTTTCTCCATATTCTAATCATATTATTTTAGACTATAAGAGATTCTCTACCTATTAGAGCGAAGTAAAAGAACTTCTGAAGAAGAAAACAATCAAACAGAACACTTACTTGATGAAGTTATATCAACTATCAGCAAAAAGACCAGCTCATGATAAAAAATTTTATTCAACAATTTCTTCGACATTTCTTATATAAATTTTTTTTGTTACTGACTCTTTTATTTTTATTATTAAGAAGTAGTTAAAAAAATGAACTTAAAAATGCAGTCCGGATAAAGCTAGAACAACCGTAATAAAACAATAACAAACAGTTAGTGCTTTTCTAACCTTGATTCTTACTTTTGAACAAATACTATATTCCCGATGAACATCGTTCATAATACAAACAGTAAAGAATGATTTTTTCCCTTTCAAGAAGAAAAAAAGATACCTGGCAAAACAGGTGTTGAATAGTACTTTGCACTTTATGATCTATCGATCGAGAAAGTAAATATAATTTAAATAATAATATTCATTATCAATGTTCGCAATATTTTATTTGCGTACGATCTTATTCAACTGTTGTCATTTTTCTCTGTAAAAGTCAAAGAACAGTATTCAATATGTTATAGTGCAATACAATCATAAAACTTATATTTTTAATATTTTTTTTAATGTAATATACTAGTTTTGTAGATTTATATAATTCTACAATAGATAATGAAACATGAATAATAATCTAATGTTAGAAAACAACTAAACATACATAAAAGAATAGTGAGTAATATATTACTTAATGTCCAATGATTAATCATACAATTCTGAGTCACTTATCGAATACCTTCATCATTTCTCCTTTCATACGTTTCATAATATCAATAATTGATAAGAAACATTAAATTGCTTATTTGACTAACCTTTTCTCTTGAAAATATAACAGTCATCGCCCAGATCAAAAAATCTGACATCAGATCTTGCAAAGTCTTATAAGATCTTGTACTATAAACGAAATCTTACGAGAATCTGACAAAAAATTGTAGTCTCTGAAATCTTGCATCAATTCAGACCATATTTTCTTCAAAGATCTGACGCGTCGGTATTTTTCAGTAAGATTTTACGAAGATATTAGCTTTAATGAAATATTTTAGTGACATTGTACCACATAACAGAATCTTACAAGAATTTTTAAGTACGATTTAGTGCAAGAAATCAGAGACTACGATTTTTTCTCCGATCCTGGTCTACTTCGATCAGATCAAATATGATTCCTACAAGATCTTGCTATCTGATTATTCGACCTGGGTCGTTTTAGTATTGATGTAAAATTGCGTAATATGGATTCATATTACTTATTATTCATAAAACCATATCAAAGTGCTATCATGCATCGTATAGACGCGAAGACTAGTTGAAGGAGCATTTAATACTCAGCAGCAGATACGCATCCAAAACTACTTTTTACATAGAGGGATCATAATCATAAGACATATGCAGAACATCGTAGTGTACTCATAGAACTAAATGATTGCAATATTTGAAAAGTTGGTCTAATATCAAGTTTAATCGTTTCCGATGTAGCATTTCCATTCAGAAATTTAATTCATTAAGATAACATGAATTAATTATAGTTCAGTGTCTAAAATAAATAAATTTGGTGAAAAAAAAAATATTATTGAACTGTTAAATAGTAAAATCAATCCTCTCCTAACGTTCAAAATTTATTAAATTCTTGTTTAAAAATAAAATTTTATTTTCAATCTATATAAATAAAATGAAAAAGAAATGAAAATATCTAAAGTTCACGAAGTTCTTAACCGGTTAAGTTTTTCACTATCATTATATTCTTCTGAATAACAATCTATTAAATGATCAAGTGATTTTCTTGAATGTTGATCAATCATTAATAACGCTATATCAATTTGTGAAAATTCAGTTAATTGAACAAGAATATCAAAACAAAATCGAACATAAGAAAATGGTACTTCTTCCGTTGCATTTTTCTTTCGATATAAATCTTCAGCTCGAAGCATTATTCGACAAATATGAATAATAATTTCAAGAAGTTTTTTTGTTGGATAAGTTATTAATTGAAATGAATGAAGAATAAATGAACATTGTTCTTTAATATCAGTAATATTTTCTAAATCAATTGATGAATTCGGAAATATTTCTTCACAACGTATTTGTTCAATTTGTTCATACGTAAGTTGATCTTCATTATTAACTTTTGATGATATAGAATTTATTCGTATTCGTCGTTTTTTTCGTGGAATTTGTTCACGTCGATATGTATAATATTCTGCTAGAACGATTTGATTATGTGGTTCAATTTTAATGTATTCTTTTAATGTTAATTCATATGAATGATTATCATGAGATAATTTATAAGCAGATGCTTTATAATATAAAGCAAGAATATTAGTTTTATCTTGTTTTAATACGAAATCACAATCATTTATTGCTTTTTGTGCCTAAAATAAATCAATTAGAATTTATTCTGTTTTGTTTTTTGTTAATTTTTCTTTACCTCAAATACTTTTAAATAACATGATGCTCGTTTTAAATAAATTGAAATATTATTTGATTGTAATTCAATACAATATGTATAATATCGAATAGCAAGAACAAAACAAGCATCAGAATAAAATTCTTCAGCATATTTTTCATACCAATGATATGCATTATTTTCTTCAAATGTGTTTTGATGTTTTAAATAAGTTAAAAAACTTTCATCATCATTTTGATCAGTTGGTAATTTTTCCCGCCATGTTTCAGCTTCATTAGAATTTAATTCTATTGATAATCTAAATATATAAATATGGGTTCAATACCATTTAAAACTCGACAACAAGATAAATTAATTCAACAATTAAATAATAAACATCGACAAATGATTTATGACAAATGGAAAAATGAAATTATTCAATATAGTATTATATTTGATAATAAAAATGAAATATATACTTCAAATGAATTCAATTCAAATGAACTACAAACGAAAAGGAAATCTCATAGATAAAACACGTGACTTTGGTTTTAGAATAATGATTAATAATAACAGGATAGAAGATTAATTTTCGATGAATAATTATGTATACAATAATAATCGAATAACTAAACCGTATTTTACGTTCTATTTTTCAGTATAAAAATAAGGTACAATTATTTCTGTCTATGTAATTAGTTTTCCGTTTCTAGAACTTAGTCGAACAGTCTATAGAATAGAATCAATTATGATCAGTATGCTCTTCGTCGAAATATAGATCGTTAAAAAGCGACATCATCGAAGTTCGATAATCTTTATTTCGATGAAGTTCACTTCGACGATCTTATTTTCGACGATGAGCATTACAATCGGTATGTATGTTAAACGTCGAACGGTAAAATGTTGCATGATCAAAAAAATCGTGTTTGATGTTGATGATGGAATATTTATTTGATTTCAATGGGTGTGAGTACTAGAGATGTGCCGGACCAGTGCTGGTCCCGATCCCAGTTGCCAGGACCAGGATCGGGACTGAAAACTTAAACTTTACCGGGACTGGAATCAAAAGAAAAGCTTTACAGGGACTAGTACCGGGACTGAAAAAAATTTACCAAGACCGGGATCGAGACCGAGACCGGGACCTAATAAAAGAAAATTTACCGGGACCTAAAAGGTTGGTTCCGCACATCTCTAAGTAGGTACGTATCCTCTCTTAACCCAAACCCATACTCACACCCACACCATAGCTAATCGACGAAACGATTTTAGAAGAAGACGAAGGAAAATACGAGAAAATTTATTAGAACAAACAGCGAGACTGGTCAATGACAACATGTGAGCATTTTCGTAGCAAATCTTACAATTAACATTTCGATATGTAAAAGAAAGAAACTTACTTGTTACATGCACGTTGTGCTGTACTACAGTGAAAACTATTCTTTGATATACGTGTATAATCTGCATAACTGAAAAGAGAACTGAAAAAAAAATCTTTTTTAGAAAATTATTTTTATTTTAATATTTTGCAATACTTACAATTTTTCTTTTTCAAATGCTTCAGCTCGACAAAATAATGCATCATTATCCATTTTATTATATTGTAACGCTTCTGTAGCATATTGAATAGCATGTCTATAATCATTTAGTTTTAAATAACATTCCGAACACATCGATAATGTATTACTAATATATTCTGCATGATGATGATAATCTAAATATAATTAAATTAGATTATTTTTATTAATATTTTTATAGATTTTTATTACCAAGAATACCATTTTGAAGCATTTTTTTTGATGCTTCAATAGCATTTTTATACTTATACATACGATGAAATTGTTCAATATCACGTTGAATTGAATTCAATGACCATGGTCGATCAGAAACTGATAATGAACGACGATTTGATTGTAAACTATTTGAATCATGTAACCAACTTTGAATTAAAGAACTAAAATTTGAAATTTGTACCATATCATCATTCGCTGTATTTTGCATATATCTATCATTATTATTTTTCCATGGTAATAAAGTACTCTATTTAATAAACAAAAAATTCAAAAAATATCTCAAGAATTATGTTGATACTTACTGTACTGCCTAGATGTGATGTTGATGGTCTATGATAATCATTATATGCGCTATTATCATTTTCACTTGTTGTAGTGCGTGAAATAGTAGGAAGATGATATGGTTCATTATTTTTATTAGCTGCAGTTGCAATACTATGATCAATCGTATTAGATTTTTCTAATAATGGTGTTATTGGTGGTGTTTCTAAAGGTCTAAGGTTGATTAATGCAGGTACATCAGCATCATCGTCCATGGTTGGTGAAACATTTAAACTACGTGGATCACGTCCATCATCATCACTTAAATTTGTAACAAAATTAGCACCAGCTTCATCACCCAATGCTATATCTTCATCATCATATTCATTTAAAGATGATGTATGAAATGGATCTATATTATGATTATCATGGTCAGAATTAGCATTTTCATAAAAGGCAATATTCATATCCATAGAAGAAGCTGTATTATAGTTAATATGTTCATCCTCAAGATGGATAGATGTATCTTTCAAAGATTTAATCTAATAAAAATTCTTTTAATATTTCTATTAAATTAAATAAATATTACTTACAATTGATTGTATATTAATTACTTCATGATTACTAGGTGTCTTTTTTCATAAGTATAATTCTATTTAATAAATGCTAAATATAGAAAATATTAAAATGCTATAGACATGAA